CACATGCATGCGATGCATACATGTGTCACGTAAAGAGAGCAAGTGTTTAGGGAATGTTTTTCCTAAACAAATGAGGGATTTCGGTAACAAACTTTTCAGTCAGAAATGGCTGTAATTATGTTGCAGCTTCAGCAACACGGACAGCACGATAAACACTGTTGATGTTCTGTTGTGGTCGCTGCAGCAGGGAGGATAGAGAGACAACGGGTGCTAGTCACACAGTCACTCGCTGTCTTTTTTTTTTGCGCAGCAAGTCTGAGTCCGGCCCGGCACAATCAAATCAATTGCAGTCGGACTTCCTCTAGTCATTTGTGTGTCTTAATTATTTCATCAAACAGTGCGCTTAAAGCATCAGATAAGCTCAGTGCATGTAGTTGATTTGATTAAAACGCATAGGATGTGTCTATTTGGTCAATAACAAAAGTTTCTCAATACTTTGTTATATACCCTTTGTTGGCAATGACACAGGTCAAACGTTTTCTGTAAGTCTTCACAAGGTTTTCACACACTGTTGCTGGTATTTTGGCCCATTCCTCCATGCATATCTCCTCTAGAGCAGTGATGTTTTGGGGCTGTCGCTGGGCAACACAGACTTTCAACTTTCTATGGGGTTGAGATCTGGAGACTGGCTAGGCCACTCCAGGACCTTGAAATGCTTTTTACGAAGCCTCTCCTTCGTTGCCCGGGTGGTGTGTTTGGGATCATTGTCATGCTGAAAGACCCAGCCACGTTTCATCTTCAATGCCCTTGCTGATGGAAGGAGGTTTTCACTCAAAATCTCACGATACATGGCCCCATTCATTCTTTCCTTTACACAGATTAGTCGTCCTGGTCCCTTTGCAGAAAAACAGCCCATGTTTCCACCCCCATGCTTCACAGTAGGTATGGTGTTCTTTGGATGCAACTCAGCATTCTTTGTCCTCCAAACACGACGAGTTGAGTTTTTACCAAAAATATATTTTGGTTTCATCTGACATTCTCCCAATCCTCTTCTGGATCATCCAAATGCACTCTAGCAAACTTCAGACGGGCCTGGACATGTACTGGCTTAAGCAGGGGGACACGTCTGGCACTGCAGGATTTGTGTCCCTGGCGGCGTAGTGTGTTACTGATGGTAGGCTTTGTCACTTTGGTCCCAGCTCTCTGCAGGTCATTCACTAGGTCCCCCCGTGTGGTTCTGGGATTTTTGCTCACCATTCTTGTGATCATTTTGAGATCTTGCGTGGAGCCCCAGATCGAGGGAGATTATCAGTGGTCTTGTATGTCTTCCATTTCCTAATAATTGCTCCCACAGTTGATTTCTTCAAACCAAGCTGCTTACCTAATGCAGATTCAGTCTTCCCAGCCTGGTGCAGGTCTACAATTGTGTTTCTGGTGTCCTTTGACATCTGTTTGGTCTTGGCCGTAAAATAAGTTTGAACATTTCGACCAATCAATTTTCCTTTTTCGGGGACAGCCCTCATTTATTCACGTTACTTTACTTAAATAAAATGTTTTATTTGATGACTTTATTTCATTCCAAGTCATCATCTCATCTCTATAGAGCTGCTGCCTATGCTGTCTGACAAAATCACTATTTTGTAGCTCTTCAAAGTAAATAAGGTATACTTTTGACTGCTGAATGCCAACTATCAATCACTTAGATCATGTATTTTCAGGCTCACGAAGCTGCTGCTTACTATCCCTCTCGATCGCACGTTCTCTTTTCTCTCAAGCCTCACATCCACCAGATGCATCAAACTCTCTGCGTTCCGGCGGAAGTCATTCATTGTCATTGGAGCAGTCCGCAACGCTACTTTGGGGGTGCCGCACTAGGCTGAGGTGCGTTCTGGGTACCGCATGCGTTCAATTTTCGACTCGTGCGTTGCTTTACCGTGCAGTGGTACAAACGGAAGTACACACACAGACTCCAACTAGCTAGCTTTTAGCTAGTTGAAAGCTAAGCATGTGTGTCGAGTACGGAAAATGCGGGCTAGACATCCAGCAAAACCAAACGCATATGCATCTGGTATCACTCTGTGCCTGCTCCGCACAGACCGGACAAGTTTAAGCGGGCCTGCAATGGATTATGGTCATTGTAGTTAATTACCACGTTTTCTGCGCTAAATTATGTAGAATATTGGCATGTTGGAAACTCCCTACTACATCGCACAGTTCAGGCTTGATCTGATTTATCTCTACAGAAACTTTACATCGAGCTCACAGAAAGAAAAAAAAAAGAAAAGGAATTCAAATTATTGAACCGACTTCGGTCAATGAGTTGTTTAAAAGCCAAAAAATAACCGACATTTTGGTTAATTGCTCAGCACTACTAATCTATTGATGATCAGATACTTCAGTTGTAACTGGCTCTGTTGCACTCACATTTGACAGTTGATAGACAACTTTAGCACAGGAGACTGAAAAGATTTGGCATGGGTCGCCAGATCCTCAAAAAGTTATACAGCTGCACCATCAAGAGCATCCTGACCGGTTGCATCACCACCTGGTATGGCAACTGCTCGGCATCTGACCGTAAGGCGCTACAGAGGGTAGTGCGTACGGCCCAGTACATCACTGGGGCCAAGCTTCCTGCCATCCAGGACCTATATACTAGACGGTGTCAGAGGAAAGCCCCAAAAAATTGTCATAGACTCCAGTCACCCAAGTCATATACTGTTCTTTCTGCTACCGCATGGCAAGCGGTACCGGAGCGTCAAGTCTAGGACCAAAAGGCTCCTTAACAGCTTCTAACCCCAAGCCATAAGACTGCTGAACAATTAATCAAATGGCCACCCGGACTATTTACATTGACCCTCCCCCTCCATTTGTTTTTACACTGCTGCTACCCGCTGTCTATTATCTATGCATAGTCACTTTACCCCTACCTACATGTACAAATGACCTCGACTAATCTGTACCCCCACACATTGACTCGGTACCGGTACCCCCTGTATATATCCTCGTTATTGTTATTTTATTGTTACTTTTTTACTAATTTTTACATTCGTTTATTTAGTAAATATTTTCTTAACTCTTTCTTGAACTGCATTGTTGGTTAAGGGCTTATAAGTAAGCATTTCATACAATCGGTCTACTCCGGTTGTAATCGGCGCATGTGACAAATAAAGTTAGATTTTTCAACAATAGCCTGTATAGAAATCTAAACGTCTCTGGTGCTGCTGCATGTCCTCATTGGTTGTCTTTCCATCAATTACACAGGCTGGTCGACACATATCAACATCTTAGTGGTGGGGTAGGATAAATAAATACAACAGAATAGGCCTAATTTAAAAGAACAGTGATGAAGGAAATGAAAAATGCTTTGTCAGAGCATGCCCGGAGCTTGTGGCTGAGCGGTACCGGAGCGAAATGCTCCGCTCACATCCTCTGGCCCTGGGCTAGCCACAGACTGAGGGCCGGGAGAGCGGGAGAGACAGGAAGGGAGAGACAGAAAGAGAGAGACAGAAAGAGAGATAGAGATGCAGAGGAGGGAGAGCGGGACACCACCGACCCAGAGGGAGGACTGGGGGGGACCGGACAGAGACAGAGGGGCCAGAGGGGGGAAGTGACCATGGCTCTGCTGTTCTGTTGTTTTTTTGCTGTGGATGCTGTTTTGTTTATGTCCTTTGGCTGAGACGCTGAGACATCCGGCAGTTTTTCCACCCACCCGATCCATACAGTCCAGACACAGGGAATTGGAGTCGAACAGAGTGAGGAACACAGACACACAGACACACAGACACACAGACACACAGACACACAGACACACAGACACACAGACACACAGACACACACACACACACACACACACACACACACACACACACACACACACACTGCTCCCCAGTCAATTTTTCCATCTTACATTGACAGAAAACAATTGCTGTGCTTCAGTTCTTTGTCCAAGCACATTGGCACATGGACTAAAGTATTAACCGATCAGATAGAAGAAGGACATGGTCAGGGTGTTGACCACAGCAGAGCTGATAACCAGAGGGTTTAACATGGTCAGGGTATTGACCACAGCAGAGCTGATAACCAGAGGGTTTAACATGGTCAGGGTATTGACCACAGCAGAGCTGATAACCAGAGGGTTTAACATGGTTGGGGTATTGACCACAGCAGAGCTGATAACCAGTGGGTTTAACATGGTCAGGGTATTGACCACAGCAGAGCTGATAACCAGTGGGTTTAACATGGTCAGGGTGTTGACCACAGCAGAGCTGATAACCAGAGGGTTTAACATGGTCAGGGTATTGACCACAGCAGAGCTGATAACCAGTGGGTTTAACATGGTCTGGGTATTGACCACAGCAGAGCTGATAACTAGTGGGTTTAACATGGTCAGGGTGTTGACCACAGCAGAGCTGATAACCAGTGGGTTTAACATGGTCAGGGTATTGACCACAGCAGAGCTGATAACCAGTGGGTTTAACATGGTCAGGGTATTGACCACAGCAGAGCTGATAACCAGAGGGTTTAACATGGTCAGGGTATTGACCACAGCAGAGCTGATAACCAGTGGGTTTAACATGGTCAGGGTATTGACCACAGCAGAGCTGATAACCAGAGGGTTTAACATGGTTGGGGTATTGACCACAGCAGAGCTGATAACCAGTGGGTTTAACATGGTCAGGGTATTGACCACAGCAGGGCTGATAACCAGTGGGTTTAACATGGTCAGGGTATTGACCACAGCAGAGCTGATAACCAGAGGGTTTAACATGGTCGGGGTATTGACCAGAGGGTTTAACATGGTCGGGGTATTGACCACAGCAGAGCTGATAACCAGAGGGTTTAACATGGTCGGGGTATTGACCACAGCAGAGCTGATAACCAGTGGGTTTAACATGGTCAGGGCATTGACCACAGCAGAGCTGATAACCAGAGGGTTTAATATGGTTGGGGTATTGACCAGAGGGTTTAACATGGTCGGGGTATTGACCAGAGGGTTTAACATGGTCTGGGTATTGACCAGAGGGTTTAACATGGTCTGGATATTGACCAGAGGGTTTAACATGGTCGAGGTATTGACCAGTGGGTTTAACATGGTCGGGGTATTGACCACAGCAGAGCTGATAACCAGAGGGTTTAATATGGTTGGGGTATTGACCACAGCAGAGCTATTACTGACATTGATTGTGAAAGAAGAGCAGTCAGTCAAGCTGGGAAACTATTGTCTGTTCTGTCTCTCACCTATAGATGGAGACAAATCCTTTTCACTTTGAGAAAGATTAGTCTTCTAATACACTGTCTGTGTTCTTTCTTCTCAGATTGTAAGGCTTAGCCGAGCCAGAATGCACTGTTCTGAGAGAAAATACAATATGAGGTTCAGAAAATCAACACAGTGATAGTTTTCAATAGCAACATCTATACACAAAAATATGAACACAACATGTAAAGTGTTGGTCCCATATTTCATGAGCTGCAATAAAATATCCAATACATTTTCAAATATGCACAAAAAGCTTATTTCTCTCAAATATTTGTGCACTTTTTTTTTTTACATCCCTGTTAGTAAGCATTTCTCCTTTGCCAAGATAATCCATCCACCTGACATGTGGCATATCAAGAAGCTGATTAAACAGCATAATCACTATAAGGTGCACCTTGTGCTGGGGACAATAAAAGGCCACTCTAAAATGTGCAGTTTTGTCACACAACTCAATACCACAGATGTCTCAAGTTCAGGAGTATTTCTGCCTGTAATAAAGCCTTTTTGTGGGGAAAAACGAATTCTGATTGGCTGGGCCTGGCTTCCAAGTGGGTGGGCCTATTGCTGCGCCCTTGCCCAGTCATGTGAAATACATAGATTAGGGCCCAATGAATTTATTTCAATTGACTGATTTCCTTATTTTGTATTTGTATTTATTATGGATCCCCATTAGCTGCTGCCAAGGCAGCAGCTACTCTTCCTGGGGTCTAGCTAAATTAAGGCAGTTCATACTATTTTAAAAACATTCAAATACATTCACAGATTTCACAACACACTGTGTGCCCTCAGGCCCCTACTCCACCACTACCACATATCTACAGTACAAAAATCCATGTGTACGTGTGTGTATAGTGCGTATGTTATCGTGTGTATGCTTATGTCTGTGTTGCTTCACAGTCCCCGCTGTCCCATAAGGAGTTTTTTTTAAATCTTTTTTGTTTAAAAAAAAATCAAATTTTACTACTTGCATCAGTTACTTGATGTGGAATAGAGTTCCATGTAGTAATGGCTCTATGTAGTACTGTGCGCCTCCCATACTCTGTTCTGGACTTGGGGACTGTGAAGCCGTGCTGCCCTGTTCTGAGCCAATTGCAATTTTCCTAAGTCCTTTTTTTGTGGCACCTGACCACACCACTGAACAGTAGTCCGGGTGTGACAAAACTAGGGCCTGTAGGACCTGCCTTGTTAATAGTGCTGTTAAGAAGGCAGAGCAGTGCCCTATTATGGACATACCTCTCCCCATCTTAGCTACTGTTTACAATCCAGGGTTACTCCAAGCAGTTTAGTCACCTCAACTTGCTCCAAGCAGTTTAGTCACCTCAACTTGCTCAATTTCCACATTATTTATTACAAGATTTAGTTGAGGTTTCGTGAATGATTTGTCCCAAATACAATGCTTTTAGTTTTAGAAATATTTAGGACTAACTTATTCCTTGCCACCCACAGTGAAACTAACTGCAACTCTTTAAGTGTTGCAGTCATTTCAGTCGCTGTAGTAGCTGACATGTATAGTGTTGAGTCATCCACATACATAGAAACTCTAGCCAGTGGCATGTCATTAGTAATGGGCCTAGACAGCTGCCCTGGGGAATTCCTGATTCTACCTGGATTATGTTGGAGAGGCTTCCATTAAAGAACACCCTCTGTGTTCTGTTAGACAGGTAACTCTGTATCCATAATATAGCAGGTGGAGTAAAGCCATAACACATACGTTTTTCCAGCAGCAGACTATGATCGATAATGTCAAAAGCCGCACTGAAGTCTAACAAAACAGCCCCCACAATCTTTTTATCATCAATTTCTCTCAGCCAATCATCAGTCATTTGTGTAAGTGCTGTGCTTGTTGAATGTCCTTCTCTATAAGCATGCTGAAAGTTTGTTGTCAATTTGTTTACTGTAAAATAGCATTGTATCTGGTCAAACACCATTTTTCCCAATAGTTTACTAAGGGTTGGTAACAGGCTAATTGGTCGGCTATTTGAGCCAGTAAAGGGTGCTTTACTATTATTATAATAATAATAATAATAATAATTAATAATACTATTCTTAGGTAACGGGATGACTTTTGCTTCCCTCCAAGCCTAGGGGCACACACATTCTAGTAGGCTTAAATTGAAAATGTGGCAAATAGGAGTGGCAATATCGTCCGCTATTATCCTCAGTAATTTTCCATCCAAGTTGTCAGAGCCCGGTGGCTTGTCATTGTTGATAGACAACAATAATTTGTTTACTTCTTCCACACTCACTTTACGGAATTCAAAATTACAATGCTTGTCTTTCATAATTTGGTCAGATATACTTGGATGTGTAATGTCTTGCATAAGTTTGCTAATCTTGCCAATGAAAAAGTCATTAAAGTAGTTGGCAATATCAGTTGGTTTTGTGATGAATGAGCCATCTGATTCAATGAATGATGGAGCTGAGTTTGCCTTTTTTTCCTAAAATGTCTTTTAAGGTGCTCCAAAGCTTTTTACTATCATTCTTTGTAATTTATCTTTGTTTCATAGTGTAGTTTCTTCTTCTTCTTTTTATTCAGTTTAGTCACATGATTTCTCAATTTGCAATACGTTTGCCAATCGGTTGTGCAGCGAGACTTACTTGCCATTCCTTTTGCCTCATCCCTCTCAATCATACAATTTTTCAATTCCTCGTCGGGATTTAACAGTTTCTACAGTCATTTTCTTAACGGGTGCATGCTTATTAGTAACTGGGATAAGCAATTTCATAAATGTGTCAAGTGCAGTGTCTGTTTTCTCCTCATTACACACCACGGACCAGCATATATTCTTTACATCAACAACATAGGAATCACTACAAAACTTATTGTATGACCTCTCATACACAATATTAGGCCCAGCCTTTGGAACTTTGGTTTTCCTAGATATGGCTACTATATTGTGATCACTACATCCAATGGATTTGGATACTGCTTTCAAACAAATCTCTGCAGCAATAGTAAAAATATGATCAATACATGTTGATGATTTAATTCCTATACTGTTTGTAACTACGCTGGTAGGTTGACTGATAACCTGAACCAGGTTGCAGGCACTGGTTACAGTTTGAAGCTTTCTCTTGAGTGGGCAGCCTGATGAAAGCCAGTCAATATTTAAATCACCCAGAAAGTATACCTCTCTTGATATCACATACATTATCAAGCATTTCACACGTTATCCAGATATTGACTGTTAGCACTTGGTGGTCTATAGCAGCTTTCCACCAGAATGGGCTTTAGGTGAGGCAGATGAACCTGTAGCCATATTACTTCAACAGTTTTTAACATGAGATCCTCTCAAATCTTCACAGGAATGTGGTTCTGAATATAAACAGCAACACCTCCACCATTGGCATTTCTATATTTTCTGTAAATGTTATAACCCTGTATTGCTACCACTGTATCATCAAAGGTATTATCGAAGTGAGTTTCAGAAATAGACAGAATATGAATGTCATCTGTTACTAGCAAATTATTGATTTCATGAACCTTGTTTCTTAAGCTAAATATGTTAACTTGGTCTATTTTGAGCACTTTTCTTCTGGGATGCTTACTTGTTTTTATTGCTTTACTGGGAAGCTTAGCAGCAGTAGATGTACTCATGTTCTTTATGTTAGTGCAGGGTGAGCTGCACACAGTGGCCTTCCTCCTTGGGCACACCGGCTCAGTGCTAACAGTATACATCTGGTTCTTAGGCATATGATTACTGCATACAATAGCTGTAGGATCAGCAGAGGCATTCAGGGCAGTTAGAGGGACATAAATTAGGTTATTTACATTGTGTCTACCGACGCCCCTGGTGTAATGTACATTTGCTGAAGCATTTAGACAACTCTGCGTCACAATGGTAGGGATTAGCTGAGCTGGGCTTGGGTGATTGCTAAGTCATTGTCTCAACGCAGCCTTATAATGCTGTGAAAGGATCCAGGAACCCAAATGATTTGGGTGGATCCCATCCTCCTTATAATATGTGTTTTGTTTCCGAAAGGTATCAAAATTGTCAACAAAAGTTACACCCATTGAGCTGCAATAATCACATAGCCAGTTGTGAAGAGCAAGAATCCTGCTAAAGCGTTCAATGCCACGATTCAGAGAGGGCACAGGGCCAGATATGATGGGTTTTTTGTTAGTGTCTAGCAGAGAATCAATCAGTTCTTTCAAATCCAGTTTCAACTGTTCAGAGCTGCCCTTCATAATGTCATTAAAACCCACATGGACTACGATAGAATCGATTTCCATGTCCTGACTTAGTACATTCAATGCCATACAACACTCCTTCAGTAGCCTCCAACTGCTCTTAAACACTAGTAAAAATAAATGCATGCTCTTCAATCGAACGCTGCTGGCACCCGCCCACCCGACTAGAATCACCACTCTCGACGGGTCTGACCTAGAGTATGTGGACAACTACAAATACCTAGGTGTCTGGTTAGACTGTAAACTCTCCTTCCAGACTCACATTAAGCATCTCCAATCCAAAGTTAAATCTAGAATCGGCTTCCTATTTCGCAACAAAGCCTCCTTCACTCATGCTGCCAAACATGCCCTCGTAAAACTGACTATCCTACCGATCCTTGACTTCGGCGATGTCATTTACAAAATAGCCTCCAACACTCTACTCAGCAAATTGGATGTAGTCTATCACAGTGCCATCCGTTTTGTCTCCAAAGCCCCACACACTACCCACCACTGTGACCTGTACGCTCTTGTTGGCTGGTCCTCACTACATGTATCCCAGTATCTCTATTTGCACATCATCTCTTGCACATCTAGCATTCCAGTGTTAATACTAATTGTAATTATTTTGCACTATAGCCTATTTATTGCCTTACCTCCATAACTTGCTACATTTGCACACACTGTATATATATTTTCTGTTGTATTTTTTGACTTTATGTTTTTTTACCCCATATGTAACTCTGTGTTGTTGTTTTTATCGCACTGCTTTGCTTTATCTTGGCCAGGTCGCAGTTGTAAATGAGAACTTGTTCTCAACTGGCTTACCTGGTTAAATAAAGGTGAAATAAAATAAATAAATAAATAAAATAAACATTCGGGAGCAGCTTAGTAATGTCATTTACTCCAGCTCCGGGATAGGACATTGTTTTTGCACCAGGAACGGTCACATTTCTTACCATGGAGCTGCCCAAAATCACGGCTGGCGAGAAGGACGAGGATATCCGCCCACTCCAACGCTTCACAGGATGCAGGCCTCCGACAGATGGAGAAGCCCCGCTCAATGCAAAGCAGGGACGGAAGGTTGCCGACATCGAAATCGTAGTAGTAGGCTAGGCATCCTGCTACAGTTATATGAACTGTAACGCAGTCAAATCTTTGAAATTGTTGCATGTTGCGTTTATTTTTGTTCAGTATAAAATCCTGTCCTTACATTCCTCTCTGTCCAGACCAGGCCTTGTAGGTCTATTATTTTGTCCCTATTCCAATATATATATATATATATATATATATATATATATATATATATATATATATATATATATATATATATCTTTACAAAATATTGTAATCCATAGATATTTATGAGCACTTACTAGCCTATGTCATATTTCACATTGCTTACAAGGTATTATAAATGATCTTATAAAGCATTAGGAAGAGGGTGTTCATAGAAAGTGTTACAAATATTAATATTCTCTTCCTATGTGTTTCCTCCAGGTGGGTTGTGGAGTGTGTTCACACTGGGCGGAGCCGGCAGTAAGCCAGGATTGGAGCAGGAACAGAACCCGCTGCCCTTATCCAATCAGAGCCTGTTATTACTCCTGGTGCTAGCCAATCTGACAGATGGACCTAACGACTGCCCCAACCCTTACAGACAGGCTGTCACCTGCTTCAAAAACACACAAGGTGCTGCCCTATACGCACACAAACACACACACACACACACACACACACACACACACACCCCTTACAGACAGGCTGTCACCTGCTTCAAAAACACACAAGGTGCTGCCCTATACGCACACAAACACACACACACACACACACACACCCCTTACAGACAGGCTGTCACCTGCTTCAAAAACACACACTGTGGGGCTGGGAATCTCCAGGGAACCTCACAATACGATGATATGTTACTTAGTATTTTTTATTAGACTCTTTATTGTGAATGTTTTATATTTAAAAAGAAGATGGAGAACCAGCTATAGGTCGAAAAATACAGGAGTTTTGGCGCAGGTACAGCCTACTAGAGTTATCTGTCACTACCGAAGGTTTTTTTTTTTTGGGGGGGCGGGGGATACTTTGAGTCAAAGTATGTATATAATATCATCCAAAATAATATTGCGATATGTAACTGTATCGATGTTTTCCCCCATCACTACCTGTCTACACGCTAAAGGCATTTGGTTTTATCTATTGAAAATACATATATTTATTGTTCATTATCAGAACAAAATTTCTGTAGCAATAATGCTTGACTACTGTGCAGTATAGTCAAGTACAGTATATAGTGAGGTTAAGAAGCTAGAGAGGGAATCGTACACCCCCCCCAATTTTTTTTTTTTAACAATTAACACTCACACTTGACTCTTTCTCCCTTACTGTTTTTTATTTATTCACTTTTATGTAATCAGGGGAGCCCAATTGAGACCAGGGTCTCATTTTCAATGGTGCTCTGACCATTGCTGATAGCTACTTTGTTGAGGAAAATTGTACTTACTGTGATATATGGTTGTCCCACCTAGCGATCTTAAGATTAATGCATTAACTGTAAGTCGCTCTGGATAAGAGTGTCTGCTAAATGACAAATGTAAATGTTTACAGTTTATATACAGTATGACATACTGTGGCAATAGAAGCTGACTTAAAGGGAACTTTCAGTGAACGTTGTGTCTCATTGTAAGTTGCCTTTGATAGGAGTGTGTGCTAAATGGCTTAAATATAAAACATCCATGTCAAATCAAATGTTATTGGTCACATAGACATATTTAGCAGATGTTATTTGTGGGTGTAGCGAAATGCTTGTGTTCCTAGCTTCCAACAGTGCAGTAGTACCTAACAAGTGTTTTTTGCCTCCTTCAGACACGTCATCGATCCCTACGGAGCAGCACCATACGTTCCAGATCAACTTCAACAGCCTGTACACAGCTCTGTGTGAGCAACAGAGATCTGACCAGGCTACACTGTTACTCTACACACTGCTGCATCAAAACACCAATATGAGGACTTACATGCTGTCACGCACAGACATGGAGAACCTGGTAAGTTAAATGAACATTTAAAAAAAATGTTCAACTTCCTATTCATCATCTCCAGCACCACCACAACATCAACATATGTGAAAATGGCGCGTTTCTATGTTTTGTAGTGGAAAAGATAGAGGAAGATAAGTGTTTCCAATGACATCGTCAACCAATTAGTAGACCAGGGTTGCCCAACCCTGTTCCTGGAGAGCTGCCCTCCTGAAGGTTTTCGCTCCAACCCCAGGTGTTACTAACCTGATTCATCTTATCAACCTGCTAATTAATAGAATCAGGTGTGCTAGATTAGGGTTGGAGTGAAAACCTACAGGACGGTAGCTCTCCAGGAACAAGGTTGGGCAGTCCTGGCCAGTATGAAAAATGTATGCACTCACTTAACTGTAAGTCGCTCTGGATAAGAGCGTCTGCTAAATGACTTAAATGTAAATGTACTCATTCGTTAAAATCAGGAGACACACTGGTGATGTCATTGGAAACACTTATATTCCTCTATCTGTTTTCCCATAGAAACGTGCAATTTGCACACGTTGATTTTGGGGTGGTGCTGGAGAGGAAGAATAGGAAGCTGATATATTTTTAATTTCCCTTTTTAATAGAATTGAAAATAATAGATTTTATTGTCCTCCTTGACGAACATTCTTTTTCCCAGGCCCATACAGTCCATTTTACACAACTGATTCCCCACACAGACATTGACAGTTGTGCTCCCATACATTCTGCTCCTGTTACTATTGGTCTAGTAGCCAAAGGAAGCCTTATGAAGGTGCAAATGTACTCTAAGGCGATGTTCACACAGCAGACCTTAATGTTCATCTTCAGTTACGTGTTTCAAATCTGTTTTGGAATCCTGAGTGACCAAACAGCAAGTTACAAGTGACCAAATCGGATTTGTGTGTGTTCAGACAGCAGTCATTTGCTGACATGGCTACGCTAGTTGTCACGGTAAAGACCGGTGTGCGCGCAGTGGAAGAGGATAAGATAATCCAACTTTCAAAACTAGTCCTTTTTGGCTAGCCACAGCAGTCAGCTAGCTAGGTAGCTGTTTAGTTTTCTAGCACATTCACTAATTTGTTTTGTAAACAAACCATAAATAAAAACATCAGCTTCATATTCATCATCTCCAGCACCACCCCAACATCAACATATATGAAAATGGCGCCTTTCTATGTTTTGTAGTGAAAAAGATAGGGGAAGATAAGTGTTTCCAATGACCGTTTACACAGAAGTCGCTTGGCCAGGATTCAGATTTGTATCTTTTAATTTTTTTTATATTTTACCCTTATTTTACCAGGTAAGTTGACTGAGAACACATTCTCATTTACAGCAACAACCACCTGGGGAATAGTTACAGGGGAGAGCAAGGGGGGTGAATGAGCCAATTGGAAGCTGGGGATGATTAGGTGGCCATGATGGTATGAGGACCACATTGGGAATTTATCCAGGACACCAGGGTTAACACCCCTACTCTTACGATAAGTGCCATGAGATCTTTAGTGACCACAGAGAGTCAGGTCACCCGTTTAACGTCCCATCCCTACACAGGGCAATGTCCCCAATCACTGCCCCGGGGCATTGGGATATTTTTTCTTTAGACCAGAGGAAAGGGTACCTCCTACTGGCCCTCCAACACCACTTCCAGCAGCATCTGGTCTCCCATCCAGGGACCGCCCAAGACTAACCCTGCTTAGCTTCAGAGGCAAGCCAGCAGTAGGATGCAGGGTGGTAATGCTGCTGGCAGGGTGGTTTGAAATGTGGCTTGAAATATCAAAATCCATGTGCTGTTCAGACTGCAGGAAAATGAACAGATTCGAATCGGATATGCATTTTTTATTTATTTGAGTCCATTCAAACTGCCAACGTGAACAAGGCTTTAGTAATCTTAGTCATCCGCTTTCTTAATTTCTCATTGTTCCCAGCTGACATATTGGCACACAATGGACAGCTGGTCCTGCGGGGTGTGCTTTGACGTCACTTCTCAGCAGGTTTTAAGGAGGAGGGGTTAGGGAGGAGGATCACTCCCACACACAGTGGAACCATGCTGAAACACACGCACACAGCTCCCTGAAGTCCCCCTCTGTGGAACGATACTGGAGGCCTGAACACACACATGGTCTCTCTCTGTCTCCCAGTGTCTCTTTAGTCTGGGATGCAGTGTGTTGGATGTTGGGTGCGTGTCAGGGCTTGCCTTCTGGTTGAGGTCTGGTGGCCCGCCCCACTTCCAGCCTCCAGTGTTGAACCACAGATAGGCAGCCTGTCTCCAGGCTAGTCCACCGCACACCGCCCCCTCTCTGTCTCGCCCCCTCTGTCTCGCCCCCTCTGTCTCGCCCCATCTCTGTCCCGCCCCATACCACCCCCTTTCTGTGCCGCCCCACACCACCACCTTTCTGTGCCCTCCCCCTTTCTGTGCCCTCCCCCTTTCTGTGCCCTCCCCCTTTCTGTGCCCTCCCCCTTTCTGTGCCGCCCCACACCACCCCCTTTCTGTGCCCATCCCCCTTTCTGTGCCCTCCCCCTTTCTGTGCCACCCCACACCGTCCCCTTTCTGCCCCGCCCCCTCTCTGCCCCGCACCCTCTCTGTTCCGCCCCACACCGCAGGAGCACACAAAGTATACCAGGAAGGAAAACTGTGGCATTTATAAGTGGATTATCCTGGTTAAATAAATATGCTAAATGAAATGAAAGGAAACAAATATGAGTAACCAACACACATGTTCATTCTCTAATGATCTTACCTTAGGTGGTGCCCATCCTGGAGATCCTGTACCATGTGGAAGACAGGAACTCTCATCACGTCTACATGGCCCTCATCATCCTCCTCATCCTCACTGAGGACGACACCTTCAACAGATCCATACATGAGGTGGTGAGTACTGACCCTGACCCCTGACCCCTCACTCTAACCCTAACCCTCATCATCCTCCTCATCCTCACTGAGGACGACACCTTCAACAGATCCAGGGTAGGGATTGGCATTTGAAACGAACACAGTACCTCAGACAACATGAATTCCCTCTCAGTAAATTCTGATTATAGACTTGGCAGACATTTCTCTGAAGGATGATTTCTCAAATGTCAGGACCTGTGCCATTTCAGATAAGAACAGTACTATGATTTATGATCTGTAATTTTGATTATTTTTTCTCAAACCTGTCATTTCTGATAAGAACAGTATGTTCTTCTGATAGTCACTATCTGTAATTTAGAAATGTCCCCATCCTCCTCCTCTATCTATTTCAGTCTTCATTATTGCCCAACTTCTCAATGAATTCACAGAGTATTTGAACAGAAAACCTTTAAACCATTTAGCTCACGGTGATGGACTCATTCCACTCTGCCATTACCTTCAGTTATGTGAATCATTTTTGCTATTTCTCGCTCTCTCGCTCTCTCTCTTTCCCCATTTCTCGCTCTCTCGCTCTCTCTCTTTCCCCATTTCTCGCTCTCTCTCTTTCCCCCTCCCTCCCTCCCTTATGCAGTCCATTGCCTGCGCTGCATATGAATGTGTCCCTCTCCTTCCGTCCCAAATGGCACCCTATTCACGATGTAGTTCACTACTTTTGACCAGAACCTTATGGGGAATAGGATGATCTCTCTCTGTCTCTCTCTCTCTCTCTCTGTCTCTGTCTGTCTGTCTGTCTGTCTGTCTGTCTGTCTGTCTGTCTGTCTGTCTGTCTGTCTGTCTGTCTGTCTGTGTCTCTCGCTCTCACTCTCACTCTCACTCTCGCTCTCGCTCTCGCTCTCGCTCTCACTCTCTCTGCAGCAGGAAATCATAAAGCCAAAGCTGTGGCTAAGTCTTGATATATTTTTTTGATTAAAATACATTTCACATTGGGCTCTTTGCTGTTGACATGTAATTTCCATCAGGTTAAATGTAAACCAAAGTCAGACATCTCTGTGTTCGGACAGAAGTTCTTCTACATTGAAAAATCTATGTGGAGGTGCTTTAGTGTTGTTGGTGTTATGGGGCTGTTTGTTCAGCCTGGGATTAGACGGCCACTCTCTACTCTCCCCCCCTAGCCATCCAGAGAGATATGAGGCTGTGTAGTGACTGACTGACTGACCAGAGGCTGGGCCGGACAGGACACAGCTCTGCCTTGGTCTCCTCTCTCTCTACTCTCCCCCCTAGCTATCCAGAGAGGGACAGGGATGCAATTTTTCCTGATTTAATGTGGAATTTCTGCTTTTCTCCATGAATACATCAATAACCTTCCCCTGAAACCACTATCCTGATTTTCTATGTCACATCCCTGAGAGAGCAATGAGCCTCTGCAATACTAGGTCTACTGACTGACCAATGAGGTAGTCATCGTTTTCATCCCAGTGTGTGATGATTGTATTCCCTGAGGTCAGAAGGCTACTGTACACCAGTTTAATCTGTATTCCCTGAGGGCAGAAGGCTACTGTACACCAGTTTTAATCTGTATTCCCTGAGGTCAGAAGGCTACTGTACACCAGTTTAATCTGTATTCCCTGAGGTCAGAAGGCTACTGTACACCAGTTTAATCTGTATTCCCTAAGGTCAGAAGGCTACTGTACACCAGTTTTTAATCTGTATTCCCTGAGGTCAGAAGGCTACTGTACACCAGTTTAATCTGTATTCCCTGAGGTCAGAAGGCTACTGTACACCAGTTTAATCTGTATTCCCTGAGGTCAGAAGGCTACTGTACACCAGTTTAATCTGTATTCCCTGAGGTCAGAAGGCTACTGTACACCAGTTTAATCTGTATTCCCTGAGGTCAGAAGGCTACTGTACACCAGTTTAATCTGTATTCCCTGAGGTCAGAAGGCTACTGTACACCAGTTTTAATCTGTATTCCCTGAGGTCAGAAGGCTACTGTACACCAGTTTAATCTGTATTCCCTGAGGTCAGAAGGCTACTGTACACCAGTTTAATCTGTATTCCCTGAGGGCAGAAGGCTACTGTACACCAGTTTAATCTGTATTCCCTGAGGTCAGAAGGCTACTGTACACCAGTTTAATCTGTATTCCCTGAGGTCAGAAGGCTACTGTACACCAGTTTAATCTGTATTCCCTGAGGTCAGAAGGCTACTGTACACCAGTTTAATCTGTATTCCCTGAGGTCAGAAGGCTACTGTACACCAGTTTAATCTGTATTCCCTGAGGTCAGAAGGCTACTGTACACCAGTTTAATCTGTATTCCCTGAGGACAGAAGGCTACTGTACACCAGTTTAATCTGTATTCCCTGAGTTTAGAAGGCTACTGTACACCAGTTTAATCTGTATTCCCTGAGGTCAGAAGGCTACTGTACACCAGTTTAATCTGTATTCCCTGAGGTCAGAAGGCTACTGTACACCAGTTTAATCTGTATTCCCTGAGGGCAGAAGGCTACTGTACACCAGTTTAATCTGTATTCCCTGAGGTCAGAAGGCTACTGTACACCAGTTTAATCTGTATTCCCTGAGGTCAGAAGGCTACTGTACACCAGTTTAATCTGTATTCCCTGAGGTCAGAAGGCTACTGTACACCAGTTTAATCTGTATTCCCTGAGGGCAGAAGGCTACTGTACACCAGTTTAATCTGTATTCCCTGAGGTCAGAAGGCTACTGTACACCAGTTTAATCTGTATTCCCTGAGGTCAGAAGGCTACTGTACACCAGTTTAATCTGTATTCCCTGAGGTCAGAAGGCTACTGTACACCAGTTTAATCTGTATTCCCTGAGGGCAGAAGGCTACTGTACACCAGTTTAATCTGTATTCCCTAAGGTCAGAAGGCTACTGTACACCAGTTTAATCTGTATTCCCTGAGGTCAGAAGGCTACTGTACACCAGTTTAATCTGTATTCCCTGAGGTCAGAAGGCTACTGTACACCAGTTTAATCTGTATTCCCTGAGGTCAGAAGGCTACTGTACACCAGTTTAATCTGTATTCCCTGAGGTCAGAAGGCTACTGTACACCAGTTTAATCTGTATTCCCTGAGGTCAGAAGGCTACTGTACACCAGTTTAATCTGTATTCCCTGAGGTCAGAAGGCTACTGTACACCAGTTTAATCTGTATTCCCTGAGGTCAGAAGGCTACTGTACACCAGTTTAATCTGTATTCCCTGAGGTCAGAAGGCTACTGTACACCAGTTTAATCTGTATTCCCTGAGGTCAGAAGGCTACTGTACACCAGTTTAATCTGTATTCCCTGAGGTCAGAAGGCTACTGTACACCAGTTTAATCTGTATTCCCTGAGGGCAGAAGGCTACTGTACACCAGTTTAATCTGTATTCCTTGAGGGCAGAAGGCTACTGTACACCAGTTTAATCTGTATTCCCTAAGGTCAGAAGGCTACTGTACACCAGTTTAATCTGTATTCCCTGAGGTCAGAAGGCTACTGTACACCAGTTTAATCTGTATTCCCTGAGGTCAGAAGGCTACTGTACACCAGTTTAATCTGTATTCCCTGAGGTCAGAAGGCTACTGTACACCAGTTTAATCTGTATTCCCTGAGGTCAGAAGGCTACTGTACACCAGTTTAATCTGTATTCCCTGAGGTCAGAAGGCTACTGTACACCAGTTTAATCTGTATTCCCTAAGGTCAGAAGGCTACTGTACACCAGTTTAATCTGTATTCCCTGAGGGCAGAAGGCTACTGTACACCAGTTTAATCTGTATTCCCTGAGGGCAGAAGGCTACTGTACACCAGTTTAATCTGTATTCCCTGAGGGCAGAAGGCTACTGTACACCAGTTTAATCTGTATTCCCTGAGGTCAGAAGGCTACTGTACACCAGTTTAATCTGTATTCCCTGAGGTCAGAAGGCTACTGTACACCAGTTTAATCTGTATTCCCTGAGGGCAGAAGGCTACTGTACACCAGTTTAATCTGTATTCCCTGAGGTCAGAAGGCTACTGTACACCAGTTTAATCTGTATTCCCTGAGGTCAGAAGGCTACTGTACACCAGTTTAATCTGTATTCCCTGAGGTCAGAAGGCTACTGTACACCAGTTTAATCTGTATTCCCTAAGGTCAGAAGGCTACTGTACACCAGTTTAATCTGTATTCCCTGAGGTCAGAAGGCTACTGTACACCAGTTTAATCTGTATTCCCTGAGGTCAGAAGGCTACTGTACACCAGTTTAATCTGTATTCCCTGAGGGCAGAAGGCTACTGTACACCAGTTTAATCTATATTCCCTGAGGGCAGAAGGCTACTGTACACCAGTTTAATCTGTATTCCCTGAGGTCAGAAGGCTACTGTACACCAGTTTAATCTGTATTCCCTGAGGTCAGAAGGCTACTGTACACCAGTTTAATCTGTATTCCCTGAGGTCAGAAGGCTACTGTACACCAGTTTAATCTGTATTCCTTGAGGTCAGAAGGCTACTGTACACCAGTTTAATCTGTATTCCCTGAGGGCAGAAGGCTACTGTACACCAGTTTAATCTGTATTCCCTGAGGTCAGAAGGCTACTGTACACCAGTTTAATCTGTATTCCCTGAGGTCAGAAGGCTACTGTACACCAGTTTAATCTGTATTCCCTGAGGGCAGAAGGCCCTCTTTCCTCCTCCTCGTCTCTTTATTTACAGTAGCTATCAAAATGTATCTAGCTATTTCTATTGTCCAGGACAGAAATACATAAGTATTAGTGCTGACCCCATTTAGTCAACTGGTCAATTGTTTGGTCGATAGGCTGTTTGTGGACCGAGATTTCTTTAGTCCAGCAGTAGCAACATTTAAAAAAATTAAAATAATGCTTTACAAGACACCTGTCTGATTGGCTCCTGTCTGAGTGGACTGATCCATTGTGGAGGCCGTGGGGATGGCACAGTCCATCACTCTAAGACATGTGCTGCTGCAATTGTATTTGGTTAAGGACAATGGTGCAACACTAATAAAAATAATATTATTTTATAACAAACGTGCTTTCTGCTGCGTGTGATAGCGGTCGCTGTCCACGGTTCTGAAACATCAGTGCGCTGTTGAATTAGCGCCTTTTCCTAGACCGTGTTGCTATGTGCATAATAGCAAAGTTAACCAGCATATTGGTGTTGAGAACAATGCGGTGGAGGCTGCAGCAGAATGAGGATGAGAAAACAGCCCTCGCCTTATTGTCTAAAAAAAGTGAGGAGAGAGGAAACCCCAACTTAATTAGGTCTATAATCAATAGCCTAACTGTTCAATGTGCCTGGCTTTATAAAATCATCCATATATATCTACAGAAATAAGACAGATCATGCTACTGTTGCCTGTTTGAGTGTTTAATAGCCTACTGATTCCGTGAGCACCAAGCTTCACTCAACCACAACATGTCATATAAACAATTTCACATATTCGGCTGTTTTTAATCTTTGCTGAAATAAGGGTTTTACACTTGTTCTGTTGTTAATCCAGCCTCTCTGCTATTATTTATAATTTATTTAGTGTTTACACTGTTCCAAAATATCAGAAAAATTATAATTTATAGTAATAATAATAATAACCCTTATTTTTCTTGATCTCCGTATTGTTATAATTAGTATTATTGTTATGATCATCATTATAATATTAAGCAAAGTCATTATCATTAGTAGGCTTAGTATAGCAGCCTTATATAACCACCATCGAGCTGTAGGCCTAAGAGCGCATCCTGTTTAGTCTTAATACCGTAACTTACTTAGGCCTATATTTCAATACTTATATAGGCTACTGTGTCAATCAATCATTATTTCGTTCATGTCATCACACAGCATACGAGTCATTCATGATTTGAAATACAATCAAGTGTTTTAGTTGAAAAATAAAATAACAAAGCGACCCTTGAATAATTAGCATAAACAATAAATAAACCGAATGCATATGACTGGTTTTAGTCTTTGCTGTAATAAAGGCTTTACCAAAAAAACACCAACAACGTTACAACAGACTCTCTGGTACGCATCATTTATTTAGTGTTGTTTATTTAGTCCCCTGTAGCTCAGTTGGTAGAGCATGGCGCTTGCAACGCCAGGGTTGTGGGTTCGTTTCCCACGGGGGGCCAGTATGAAAAATGTATGCACTCACTAACTGTAAGTCGCTCTGGATAAGAGCGTCTGCTAAATGACTAAAATGTCAAATGTTTAAATTGTTCCAAACCGTCAGAAAAATGTATATTGTAATCTAGCAGCACCTGTTGGGCCCACAAGCACTTGCTCGTTACCTTCTTTTTCTTGATCTCCAGTATTTTCCACAACTAGTCAAATGTATTCCACCCATCTGACTTCCCCTTTATCCTCCTGAGAAACCAGTAAACATTCCTTCCTTCCTTCCGTTTCCAGTGTATTTGGTCTCGTCCCATCTGCAATCCATATTTGCTGTCACGTGTTGGTGTTCGTTCAACCAATTTATGATGTGGATTATGATATTATTTACATTCAGGCCCTTGTTGGCGTCACGTGCCTGCAATGCTACATGTGTCACGTAAAGAGAAAAAAAAAAGCCGGGAATGTTTTTCCTAAAACAAATGAGGATTTCGGAACAGAAAGCTTTCCGTCAGAAAATGGCTGTAATTATGTTGCAAGCTTCAAGCAACACGGACACACGATTAACACTGTTGATGTTCTGTTGTGGTCCCCGGCCTGCAGAAGGGTCATGCGCAGCAGCTGAGCCGCCGGCCCCAATTGCCCGGACCCCAATGAGGCATAGAGTATCTAGACAAATCACGTTGAAGGTCTGGCTAGTCGGACACATTCAGTCGCCCTAGTTTATCACGTTCATTAACTTGTAATAAAAGGTTTTTATTTGATGACTTTATTTCATTCCAAGTCATCATCTCATCTCTATAGAGCTGCTACCTATGCTGTCTGACAAAATCACTATTTTGTAGTTCTTCAAAGTAAATAAGGTATACTTTTGACTGCTGAATGCCAACTATCAATCACTTAGATCATGTATTTTCAGGCTCACGAAGCAACTGCTTACTATCCCTAACAAGTCTGGAGCCTCAGCTCAGACAGACATTACACAAAATGGTCGCCATAACCAGAGAGAGAGAGCGTGAGAGAGGGGTAATTTGAGATGCAGAGACAGAAAGAGAGACCGTAACATTGGAATGGATACGTTGATACATTTGAAACTCCTGATACTTCCTGTCTTAGTCTCATCGTCAGTGTTCTCATAGGCTGACTGATAAAGGTTATCTGAGGGGAGATAGGATTTGGATGTTAATCGATGTTAAGTCTTTCAGGAAACAATGGTATCTACTATCTACGAGATTAGGAAGGAACAGTGGTAGCTACTAGGTAAAACCTCTGGGGTGTTACGTAGTAGCTACCATTTGTATAGCCATTTCTTATGTTGTCTCCCTCTCTCTCAGGTTTTAAAGAACATAACATGGTATTCAGAACGTCAGTTAACAGAGATCTCTCTGGGGAGTCTGCTCATCCTGGTGGTCATACGCACCATCCAGTTCAACATGACACGGACCAGGGTGAGTTAAACACACATGGATGTACATGCATGCATACACAGTGCATTGACAAACACACACAGGGTTTTTTCTGGATCAAAATTAGGCTTAGGTGGTGGCCGTGGTGGTGGCATGGCCATGGGCGTGGCCAATGGTGCGGTCCTGTTGGCTAATTTCCTGCAATTCTACACATTTTTGCCATTAGGCTGAGAGAGATTTGTACCCAACAAAATATAAAAATAAAATATAAATGCAACATGTAAAGTGTTAGGCCATACGTAGAAAAAAGCTTCTCTCTCAAATTTTGTGCACAAATTTGTTTACATCCCTGTTAGTGAGCATGTCTCCTTTGCCAAGATAATCCAACCACCTGACAGGTGTGGCATATCAAGAAGCTGATTAAACAGCATGATCATTACACAGGTGCACCTTGTGCTGGGGACAATAAAAGGCCACTCTAAAATGTGCAGTTTTGTCACACAACACAGATGTCTCAAGTTTTAAGGGAGCATGGAATTGACATGCTGACTGCAAGAATGTCCATCAGAGCTGTTGCCAGAGAATTGAATGAGGATTTCTCTACCATAAGCCGCCTCCAACGTCGTTTTAGAGAATTTGGCAGTACATCCAATCGGCCTCACAACTGCAGACCACGTGTATGGCGTTGTGTGGGCAAGTGGTTTGCTGATGTCAACGTTGTGAACGGAGTGCCCCATGGTGTCGGTGGGGTTATGGTAAGGGTAGGCATAGGCTACGGACAGCGAACATAATTTCTCCTGAGGCCCATTGTCGTGCCATTCATCCGCCGCCATCACCTCATGTTTCAGCATGATAATGCACTGCCCCATGTCGCAAGGATCTATACACACTTCCTGGAAGCTGAAAATGTCCCAGTTCTTCCATGGCCTGCATACTCACCAGGCATGTCCCCCATTGAGCATGTTTGGGAAGCTCTGCCAATATCCAGCAACTAAGCACAGCCATTGAAGAGGAGTGGGACAACATTCCACATGCCACAATCAACAGCCTGATCAACTCTATGTGAAGGAGATGGGTCACGCTGCATGAAGCAAATGGTGGTCACACCAGATACTGACTGGTTTTCTGATCCATACCCCTACCTCTTTTTTTTAAGGTATCTGAGATTATCTTATTTAAAAAAGTATTATTTCTTATTTTTATTTCTTGTGTGTTTTTGTTCTACCTTATATAATTTTTTTGTACTACATTGATATTGATCACTGCATTTTGGGGTTTAGAGCTTGCAAAAAGGCTTTTCACTATATTTGTGCATGTGACATTAAAACTCGAAACTGTGCGCATCTCAATGGACTTCCAGGAAGGTTCATTGTAAGTCTCTTATTTCCTCTCTTCCAGGATAAGTACCTGCACACCAACTGCCTGGCAGCCCTGGCCAACATGTCAGCCCAGTTCCGCTGCTTACACCAGTACGCTGCCCAGCGTATCATCAGGTGAGGTTTAGTACACACTCTGTAGAACTAGTGCTGACTGAATGCCAAGTGTGTGCAAAGATGTCATCAAGGCAAAGGGTGGCTATTTGAAGAATCACAAATATAAAATATATTTTGATTTGTTTAACACTTACTACATGATTCCATATGTGTTATTTCATAGTTTTGATGTCTTCACTATTATTCTACAATGTAAAAAATAGTTTAAAAAATAAAGACAAACCATTGAATGAGTTGGTGTGTCCAAACTTTTGACTGGTAGTGTACATGTATATACACATACATGTTAGCGCACACATACAACAAGTAGGTCACATGGGCGTTGCTTTATTCGTTTTTGAAACCAGGTTTGCTGTTCACTTGCGCTATATAAGATTGAAGGGAGTTCCATGCACTCATGGCTCTGTATAACACTGTACATTTCCTTGAATTTGTTCTGGACCTGGGGACTTTGAAAAGGCCCCTGGTGGCATGTCTGGTGGGGTAAGTGTGTGTATCAGTGCTGTGTGTAAGTTGACTGTGCAAACAATTTGGAATTTCCAACACATTAATGTTTCTTATAAAAACAAGAAGTGACGAAGTCAGTCTTCCCTCAACTCTTAGCCAAGAGAGATTGGCATGCATAGTATTAATATTAGCCCTTTGATTACAATGAAGAGCAAGACGTGCCGCTCTGATCTGGGCTAGCAGCAGCTGAACTATGTCTTTCTTTGCAGCACTTGAACATATGACTGGACAATAATCAAGATAAGATAAAACTACAGCATGCAGGACTCGCTTTGTGGAGTGTGGTGTCAAAAAAAGCAGACCATCTCTTTATTACGGACATACTTCTCCCCATCTTTACCACCATTGAATCTATGTGTTTTTGGTAACACCAAGGAACTTTGGTCTCCTCAACTTGTTCAACAGCCACACCATTCATTACCCGATTCAGCTGAGAACTTAGGGAATGATTTGTACCAAATACAATGCTCTTAGTTTTAGAGATGTTTAGGACCAGTTTTTACTGGCCACCCATTCCAAAAGAGAGTGCAACCCTTTGTTAAGGGTTTCAGTGACTTCATTATCTGTGGTTGCTGATGCATATAAAAAATGCGTTGTTGGTTAAGGGCTTGTAAATAAGCATTTCACTGTAAGGTCTACACCTGTTGTATTCGGCGCATGTGGCAAATAAAATTTGATTTTATTTGAATCGTCATCATACATGGACACACATGCTTTGTTTAATGCCAGTGGCAGGTCATTGGTAAAAATAGGAAAGAGTTGTGGGCCTAGAGAGCTGCCCTGCGGTACCACACACTTTACATGTTTGACATTAGAGAAGCTTCCATTTAAAAAAAACTCTGAGTTCTATTAGATAGATAGCTCTGAATCCACGATATGGCAGAGGTTGAAAAGCCATAACACATACGCTACCAGTCAAAAGTTTAAGAACACCTATTCATTCAAGGGTTTTTCTTAATTTTTACTATTTTCTACATTGTAGAATAATAGTGAAGACATCAAAACTATTTAATAACACATATGGAATCATGTAGTAACCAAAAAAGTGCTAAACAAATCAAAATATATTTAATATTTGAGATTCTTCAAATTGCCACCCTTTGCCTTGATGACAAATAGCGAGAGCAAATAGAGCAAATGACAGCTTTGCACACTCTTGGCATTCTCTCAACCAGCTTCACCTGGAATACGTTTCCAACAGCCTTGAAGGAGTTCCCACATATGCTGAGTACTTGTTGGCTGCTTTTCCTTCACTCTGCGGCCCGACTCATCCCAAACCGTCTCAATTTGGTTGAGGTCGGAGTATTGTGGAGGCCAGGTCATCTGATGCAGCACTCCATCACTCTCCTTCTTGGTAAAATAGCCCTTACACAGCCTGGAGGTGTGTTGAAAAACAAATGATAGTTCCACTAAGCCCAAACCAGATGGGATGGTGTATCATTGCAGAATGCTGTGATGTCCATGCAGGTTAAGCAAAATACCCCCAGACCATAACACCACCTCCTCCATGCTTTACGATGGGAAATATACATGCAGAGATCATCCATTCACCCACACCGCATCTCACAAAGACACGGCGGTTGGAACCAAAAACTCAAATTTGGACTCCAGACTAAAGGACAAATTTCCACCGGTCTAATGTCCATTGCTCGTGTTTATTGGCCCAAGCAAGTCTCTTCTTCTTATTGGTGTCCTTTAGTAGTGGTTTCTTTGCAGCAATTTGACCATGAAGGCCTGATTCACACAGTCCCCTCTGAACAGTTGATGTTGAGATGTGTCTGTTACTTGAACTCTGTGAATCATTTATTTGGGCTGCAATTTCTGAGGCTGGTAACTAATGAACTTATCCTCTACAGCAGAGGTAACTCTGGGTCTTCCATTGCTGTGGCGGTCCTCATGAGAGCCAGTTTCATCATAGCGCTTGATGGTTTTTGCGACTTCACTTGAAGAAACTTTCAAAGTTCTTGAAATGTTCCATATTGACTGACCTTTATGTTGTTTCTTTTTGCTTATTTGAGCTGTTCTTGCCATAATATGGACTTGGTCTTTTACCAAATAGGGCTATCTTCTGTATACGCCCCCTACCTTGTCACAACACAACTGATTGGCGCAAACGCATTAAGAAGGCACACCTGTTAATTGAAATGCATTCCAGGTGACTACCTCATGAAGCTGGTTGAGAGAATGCCAAGAGTGTGCAAAGCTGTCATCAAGGCAAAGGGTGGCTATTTGAAGAATCTCAAATATAAAATATATTTTGATTTGTTTAGCACTTTTTTGGTTACTACATGATTCCATATGTGTTATTTCATAGTTTTGATGTCTTCACTATTATTCTACAACGTAGAAAATAGTAAAAATAAAGAAAAACCCTGGAATGAGTAGGTGTTCTAAAACTTTTGACCGGTAGTGTACGTTTTCTCAACAACAGGTTATGGTCAATAGTGTCAAAGGCTGCACTGAAATCTAACAGTACAGCGCCCACAATCTTCTTATTCTGAGTTTTTTTTAACCAATCATCAGTCATTTGTGTCTGTTCAGTTCTTGTTGAGTGCCCTTCTCTATAAGCATGCTGGAAGTCTGTTGCTAATTTGTTTACAGAGAAATAGCATTGTATTTGGTCAAACGCAATTTTTCCAACAGTTTGCTAAGAGCTGGCAGCAAGCTGATAGTTCTGCCGTTAGAACCAGTAAAGGCCGCTTTACCACTCTTGGGTAGCGGAATGACTTTGGCTTCCCTCCAGGCCTGAGGACAAAGACTTTCCTCTAGGCTCAGATTATAGATATGACAGATAGGAGTGGATATAGTCAGCTACCATCCTCAGTAGCTTTCCATCTAAGTTGTCAATGCCAGGAGGTTTGTCATTATTGATCGACAACCCACATTTTTCCACCTATCCCGCACAGACTTTACAAAATTCAAATTTACGGTGCTTTTCTTTTAGTTATTTGTTTTTTTATGCATTTAGTACGATGGCTCACCATTCGTTGTTGGCATTTCCTGCCTAAGTTAGCCCCCTTTGCCAATGAAGTAATCATTAAAATAATTGGCAACATCACAGTGTTTCCTCTGGAAAATGTGTTAGCTGTGGGGGAAAAGTTAGCAGGGGGGTGGTGGGGTCCCCCCCCCTAAACCAGATATGTATAAGTACTGAAGTGCTTAGTTCTGGTGACTTTTTTAAAAGGAAAACATATAATTTCCACCCTCAGAAATGAGCTCAATAACGTATTGGTAAAATGATCGTAGTATACAGGATGCAATTTAAGGTTGAGTGCTGCAGCTATCTAAAGAAACACAACAGAGACCTTTCTGAAATAAAAAAGTTTATCTTGACAAAATTAACAGAGGAACATTTGACTGAACATGAATTAGAACCCACAAATTCATGTTCATCACAAAAGGAGGGCGTTGGAAATCTCTTTCCAGGTTCTGACAAAAACCTAGTTCTGACATAGTTTACAGCCTTTGTCAGAGCACTTTATTCTTCTGGGCTTTTGGAAAAAGATTTCCAACGCCCTCCTGTAATTGAGCTCCTTGATGGGGGGGGCCGTTGATGGAGAGCCACATGCAGGTTGGCTAGATGCTCTCCCTGCAGTCTGTTCCTCAAGTCTGTTTTGACCTGCAATAACAGAGATAATAATAAGAGAAGGGAGAGGGACAAAGAGGATCTACTTTCACATTTAAATGTTCTTACTCGTTTCATTGCAGAGAAGTCCCTTTCACAATTAAAGGAAGACACTGGTATGGTCAGTGCGATTGCTGCCAGCTGGCTAAGGGGCAGGGGTAGACTGCCCCCACTCATCAAACTGCGAGGCCAGCTTTGTCATTCCGTCAGCTCGTCCAACCCCTGAAATACATGAAAAACAAAAAAGATGAACAACATTAAAGAAGAGCCAACAGAGTGGTAGTTCAACAGGAAAAAGGGTTGGGCAACACTGGCCTAACATGCTCTCTTCAAAAGATTGTCACATTCATGCCGTACCTTGAATGCTCCAACTAGCACATGTTGCTTGTAAGAGGAACACTCTTGTAGCACAGCAGCCTCTGGCGCTTGCAATAACTGCCTGGAGAGGAGGGTCAGGTTAAAGATGTTTATCCTCTCACTAGAGAACGCAGCCCCCAGAATCTCCAGGTGTTGGAACCTCCGGTCTAGGCTGTCCTGGAGGCCAACAAGATATGGATCCATGACCTAATTACAGCACAAAACAGAAAATAAGTGATTAATAGCGGTTTGTTTTAGTTTAACCAACACACATGATGTAACATTGGTTTCATCACAGCATTTGAAAACAAATGTTTTTACCTCTTATCTGAACCGAGCCCAGAACTGCTCCCTGGTCTGGGTCTTCTCCACCTGGCCACTCCCTCTCCTCCTCCTCCTCGATGTTGAATGTGCCCAGACCCATTGGGTCATTGAGGTCCTGGTGGAGTTGGCTCAGAAATAAAAACATAATGCTGTAGACTAGT